ATATTTTATATATTTCTATATATATATATAAATATTTTATATAGTGTTAATGTTCCCTAGGCCAGTACCAGATAAAGAATTGTTAGTTTTATGAGAAGAGCTCACAAGACTGTTGCCCTCCATTAGCATTGCCAGAACAATGTGTCCCCTCAGTTATGTGATCGTCCCTTTTCACCTCGCCAGCCATGGTGGAGGCAGGGTGGAAGGAGCCTTTTTGTCTTCTGTGCTTGTCTTAGAAATTTAAAACATGAAGTTCCTTGGTTGAATTTCAAAACAGCCTTCAAGCCGTATCCAACATGGCTAAGAATGGTGTGGGAATTTGTTTGGAAATGAAAGCCTGAATATGTTGGTTTGCTGTAGATCTCAATGAAATCTCTGCTCTTTAAATTCATTCTGGCATTTCATCTGAAAATGTTGATCCTCATGAGAGGACTGGGGTTTTTATAGTCTGAATTAAATGGCTTTAGGGTTTTTTAGTTAGGTTTCTTATTTGAGAGCACAGTTTAATTCTCTAGAGTGTGTCTGAGCATGCCTTGGGGATTGCCTGCACAGCCCTGGGTTTGGGGTCCCTGGCATGTTTCTCCCGGAGCGGGTCTGAGGATACAGTAATGGCATGTAAGTGATAAAGTCTCTGCCACTCTTCCTCTTTCAGAGAATTCGGTCGACAGTGGATGAAAAAGAACAGAAGCAGCTTCTGATGGACCTTGATGTAGTAATGCGAAGCAGTGACTGCCCGTATATTGTTCAGTTTTATGGCGCGCTCTTCAGAGAGGTGGGCACTCCAAACTTGCTTCCTTCATAGCAAAGTTTGGTTTTTACCTTTTTTTTAATTTTTTTTTTGCTTTCAGTTTCTAACTTGCAATAAGGAGGAGAAAGTTAATTTATGTCAGGTTTCTTAGCTCTCCACTTTTAGTCAAGGATATTTAACCAGGAGACCCAGACGTGTGGGTGCTGCTGAGCTCAGACATGCTGTTCCCATTCATCGTTATGTCTCTGCCTATTTCAGTCTCTCCATCTTTCCTGCTTTTCTTGTCTCTTGCTGAGCTCCAGGTCTGTGGCTCCCCCATGCAGAGTGTATCCTGCCGGGCTGGGCACAGCTCTGTGGCACTGGGCTTGGACACGAGCATGGTTCATGTCAGTGGCTGTGAGATGTGACCTGTGTCCCTGTAATGAGGGTGGGTGGCTGCTGTGATGGTAGTCACAGCTCCCCGTAGGGTTATGTGATGTATGTGTGTACGTATCCAGGCTGCGTCAGAGCCTGGGTTGACGTGCATCTGTCTTGAAGTTGTTTGTACCTACAGATAAATCAGGGTAACCATGCTGGGTCAGACCAAAGCTCCTCGTGGGGTGTTCTGTCTCTGGCAATGACCCACAGGCTCCGCTTGCAGAAGCGTGTGTGATACCTCGCCATAGCCTTCAGTCATGTGCAGCTGCGTGTCTGCTGAGCTAGATGTGCTGTCTTTGTGCTGAGTGGTGCTTACTGGATTTCTTTTCCATGGAAGTGTCCAGTTCCCGCTTGAGTATATTTTTTGCATCCATGCTGCTCCCTGAGAGGCACTTCCCTCGGCTGTCCACCCCTCGTTCGGAAGCCCATCACCTTGACTCATTTTGAATTTTCATCCTGCAGTTTCGAGTGATGCCCCTAGTGCTTCCCCTAGTTTTTGTATTTGAAGAGGTGGTAAACAGTTGATCTTTATCCATCCTCTCCAGGCTGATGAGGGTTTTATGGACAGTTGCCATATTCCCCCTTTGCTGTGTCTTACTGAGCCTGCTTAAGTGCCAGCCTGTGTCATACACAGAACCCCTTCCAGACCTTTGATCATCTTTCTTGCTCTTCTTTGCATCCTTTCCAGTTCTATTCTGTCCTTTTGGGACAGAGACCAAAATTGCATGACTGTTCTTGAAAGGAGCAGTATCTGCAATAGCTAGCGTAGGGGCTGTAATTTTGCTTGGCCCCTTTTATGCACCTAGATAGCGTGTGCTGTGGAGTGAGTTATTCATCGGGGTGCTTCCAAGTGAAGATCAGAATTAGAGCATTGAATGCTATGTCAGCTGACCACATTCAATCCTGACATACTTTAGCTGTTCATGGGTGGGAATATGATGTTAATCACTGCACGTTCGTGACTGTTTTAGTGTCTACTTACTGTAATTTAAGGTAGATATTATGCTGCAGGGCCACAGAAGGTGTCCTTCTATCTCCTTGTGCTTTGCCGAGGCCTGTTGCAATCTAGCTTCAAATGACCACTCAGAACGGTTGGGAAGCTGGCCTGCTCCTTGCAGCCCAAACAGTCTTGTGCCGTGGATGGAGGCCAGTCATCAGTCTGAGCTGAGCCTGTTCAGTACAGGCACAAGAAGAGGATTATACGCTGGTGAGCAGCACGGGATTGCAAGCACTTGGTCCATTTGCAAGAGCAAGAGTTTTGGAGAAGGTCAATGTCAAAACCTGACTGCAGCATCCCCTTCCTCCAGAGAGCAGCAGCTCTTCTGTGGGAGTGGATTATTACCCATCCTGTAGTTGCTCTGGTGTTGAAGCTGGTACAGTGTAGGGGAGTAGACTTGTAGCCTTGCATGTTTTCCCCTACTGCAGCCCAAATCCAGTACACCTACTCAAGGGAAGAAGGAAAATAGAGATGTACTGGCCATTAGTCATCTTTGCATATTGTCAGGCATAGCAGCCTGTGCAGTCTTCTGGGGCTTTACTGGGAAGCTGTTAGAGAAAGAGGGTCAGTGTTGTAGTCACCCAAAAGCAAAAGTCTGGGACTGAATATTCAGTTCCTGCTTCTAGAGAGTCTGCTTCTGTAATTTTACTGGGTCACTCCTCTGGCTTTAAATCTAGGTCTCTAAAATATAGATAATAATCCTTCCTTTTCCCATGCTCTGCTTTTTCTTATATGTTTAATCACGAAGCCATTTTGGGCCAGGAGGCGTTGTCCATGTTCACACATTACAAGCTTCTACCAAGTGTGGAGCCTGAGCCTTGGCTGGATCTTTCCAGCTTTGCTGAAATACAAATGAGAAGGCTGTCAGCTGTTGTAAAGAAAAGTCTCTGGGCAAGGCGGTATCTTGCCAGATGCTGATGAGCAACATGTTCAGAGCTGTGCAAGCCTGTCGCCCCTCTGCAGCTCTAGGCACATCCTGAGATGGAAGTATAAATACAGAAATAGGATAAAAACCCAAACGTCAGCCTGGCTTCTGCTGCACCCTTTGTCATGTCGAAAAATCCTGTCCCTCTGCAGCCAGGCAGAGCTCCTTCCATGCTCCGTCTGGGACAGCTTTCAGTGAGGGCACTCTGGGTTATATCATGTTGGTCCCTGGAATTCCCTTTCCCTCCCCCACCCTCAGCATCAATGGTTCTGAGATGAAACCAACCTTCCCCTCTCCTCGGTCCCTTACTGTTGAGGTGATGTTCTAAGTTACAGACCTCAGAGGTACACAGGGTGAGCTGGTGCGCTTGGATAAAGTTTCCTGTCTTGTGATATCAATTACATGTTCTGATATTAATTACATCTTTTAAAGCTATGGAAGTGTGGCAGCAGAGAAGCACAGAAAGGGGACAAAAAGAATGTATGTCTGAACTGGTCTCATCCCCCCACTCTGCTTAGCAGATCTGTTCCCAAATAACTGTGAACAATCCAGGTCACTGCTGCACCAGTCCTGGAGTGTAAGAGCTAATAGGACGTTGCTAAAGGCTGAACCTTTCTCAGGAAGTCCTGCAGCAAAGCACATATAAACAAAGGTCTTTGTTTCAGCATTTCAAGGTGGAAAGTAAGGAAATAAGTTCTAGAATGCAGATCCTCTTGGGACTGCCTGCTCTGAGCCAGGATTCAGATTCTTCAGGGACGGATGGAGCTACAGATGGGAAGTCATCTTCTGCCTGCTCCTGAAAGGTGAAAGACTTCAATTGAGCCTCTTTAGAAGAGTTTAAATGTCGAGTAGAGAAGCTTAAATGTTGAGTAGGTGGCTTTCACAGTCAGATGATTGTCAAGAAGATTATAGCAGCTTCAGGAACAGCAGCAGGGCAGCTGGGCTGTTCTGCGAGGCAGGTAGCCTTCCAGAGGCTGTTGATGTGGAGAAGCGGAGCTCAGCTCTTGAATCCTGACAGTCTGAGGAGTGGGAGTACTACACCAAATGGGACAAAACTGTCCAAGGTCTTATTTTGAAGACAGACGAGTGTCCCAGCTTGCAGTCAGGAAAGTAACTGTAAACAGGCAAGTTACTGTGGCAGCCTCAGTGGGTATGAAAAGTTTGATTTGGAAAGACAAAAAATACTAGATAAATATTTTTCCCTAGTGTCATTCTGTCTCACTTGTTCAGCAGTCACTTTCTGATAGGGAAAGTCTTTTCTGGGAACAGGTCCTGCTTGTCCCTCATCAGGCAGCACCTTAACATGTATTATTTGCTTCTTGTTCTTTAATAATTTGGGATGTCCTTCTTTTATTATGTATGTCTGTGTATATACTGTCATGTGTAACAATCCAAAACCGACAAGTTAATTGCCAGGTATGGGACTTTGCTTGAGTTTATTGGCACCCATTAGATGAGATTAAATTGCCTGCTTAATGAAACAGGAACAAAGCTGAAAAAGTAGAAGAGAGAGTTTCAGCCTTTGCGTGGATAAGGGGCTTCATTGCACTGACACCGGATAGTGCATGTGCTGTAGTCAGGTGCTCCATGGGACAGCGCTCTGCTCACTCCTGCTCTCATGGATGAAGCTGTAACCTTCACAGCGCTGTGTTGTACCTCCCTGTGATATTACAGCATCCCTTGGTCTGCTAGTGCAGCTCTTGAGCAGACTGCTCTACGACTTGGTTCTCCCAACAGTCCTAGGTGGAAGAAATCCAGCTTTTTTTCAATAGCAGAATCCCTGAGCACCGGCATTGTAATGTGTGGCTGTTGAAATAGTTTCCATGTCTACAGCCTGACTGCTTAACAGAAGAGAGAAGAAAGTTGCATCCAGTAAAGGCTGGAGAATGAAGAGAATCGGGAAGAGAAAGGCCTGGAGGGAAGTGCAGAAGGGCTGGTTATACCCCTGGCTGTATTCCTGGTTACACTGGCAGCAGAAGGGATTCGGTGGCTGATGAATCATAAAATCATTGAATCATAGGATGATTTGGGATGGAAGGGACCTTTGAAGATAGAGTCCAACCCCTCTCAATCCCCTCATCCTTCAGTCCTTATTTATACTGGTGAGTGCTGCGATCCAGGTTCAGGATCTTGTACTTGGCCTTGTTGAACTCCATGAGGTTCACCCAGGCCCCATGAAGCCAGTTGGTTTCTCCATACGGCACCAGTGAGAGCCCTGACTGCTGCAAATGCTCGCAGAGCTTTCCACACCGGCCAGCAGAGATGCTGTATTGAAGAGGGGCTGGTTACCTCTCAAAGTGGTATTTGTGAGGTGGGGGAGAAAAAAAGCTGATTGCAAGGATTTCTGCAAAGATTGTGCTTGAGTTACTTTCTTCTAGTGAGGAGAGAGGAGTGTTGGGCTGAGCCACAGGACTGCCCTGGGCAGCCCCGAGACTTTCACCCCTAATGTTGCCAGTTTTGGAGAGGTTTTAGGTCTGAGAAAGAAACAATCTTATTTTCTTCTGTGTGTTCTTGCTGGGTGCTTTACAGCTAATCTAGTTTGAGCCAGTACCTGTAAGGCTGGGGATGTTTGGTTACTCATCATGACCACGCTAATTGCTCTTTCAGAGTAACTGTTCTGCTACTTTTATTCTCAAGGGGGGCAGAGGAAAAAAGCCTTGTCTGATGCAGGATCTCAGCAGTGACTCCTACCCAATGCAAGCATAGCCAAGCCAAGTTTAAACCAACAAGCTCAACAGTTGATAAAATTATTCGATGAAAAATTCATTGCAAGTTGCAAAACATGCCTGGGAAGCCAGGTAAATTAGCCTGTAGGGAGCTTCTGCTGGTACAAGAGAAGAGGTAGTGAGGATGTGTCAGTAGCACAGTGCTGATGTTGGTGTGAATTGTGGACGTGTCCTGGATTGGTTGATACAGGATGTTTGCTCTTTTTGCCATTGATGCACAACACCCTATTTCTATGGAAATCTTTGGCTATGTTGGAGTTACTCAAGTCATCTGTCCCCGTGAGCAGTCCCCTGTCCATAGGAAAAGTGTCCTCTGTGTCACATAAGGATATGTGAGGGTGATGGCATTCTTCATTCTCTCTCACTAGTGTAGATGCAACTTGCATAAAACGTTGGCCACTCCCTGTGGTGCACTAACGTGGTCAGCCTTGAGTACTGGTATCACAGAATGGTGGATGTTGGAAGGGACCTCCGGAGGTCACCTTGTCCAACTCCCATGCTCAGGCGGGGCCACCTAGGGCTGCTTGCCCAGGGCCATGTCCAGACAGCTTTGGGATACCTCCAGGGATGGAGACTCCACAACCTCCCTGAGCAACCTGTGCCAGTGCTCAGTCACCCTCCTAGGGAAAAAGGTTTTCCTGATGTTCAGAGGGAGCCTCCTGTGTGTTTGTGCCCATTGTCTCTCGTCCCTTCACTGGGCACAACTGAAAAGAGTCTGTCCTCTTTGCACCCTCCCCTCAGGGAGATCTCATCAATGTCTATCAATACCTGAGCCTTCTCTTCTCCAGGCCGAACAGTCCCAGCTCTCTCAGCCTTTCCTCATAGGAGAGATGCTCCAGTCCCTCGGTCATCTTAGTGTCCCTTTGCTGGACTCTCTGCAGTTGCTCTACATCTGTTATACTGGGAGCCCAGCACTGGACACAGCACTGCCGGTGTGGCCTCACCAGTGCTGAGGCAAGGGGAAGGATCACCCCCCTCGGCCTGCCTAGTGCAGCCCAGGGAACTGTTCATCTTCTTCGCAGCAAGGGCACATTGCTGGCTCGTGGGCAATTTGGTGCCCACCAGGACTCCGGGGTCCTTCTCTGCCAAGCTGCGTTCCAGCTGGGTGGCATCTTTGTGACATGCTCAGTTGTCGACTGGGAACTCGGGACACTGTGCTCAGAAGTTGAAGCATCCCAGTCGCTGGTTAATCAGCTTTTGTGGATGTCCTGGAGACGGGCAATGATGTTTTGAATGGAACGTGCAGGGTGTTCCTGGACATTTTTTGGAATGCCTACAAGATGTGCATTAGCATCTGGTAATTTAATACTCAGTAAGGACTAAAATATATTCTTCGGAAGAATAGCTCTAACTAGAGGAGAAAATTAAAATGCTTCTTTTGTCATTTATAAATTGGATATCAACCTGATCTAAAAGCATACATTAAAGAGAAACTTTCATTAAGATGGTTTTGTCCTTGCAATTCCCAGTGAAGCAGAACTTTCCCACGCACATCAGCACTTTTTTGTATTTGATCAAAAAGGGGGCTGGGTGACCAGTACCCAGTCATCCCTGCTAGTCTGCCTTTTTTTTCTCAGTAAAATTCATGAGCTTTGCCAACAGATAAGCCCTTTCAAGTCCCAGGGAGAAATAAGAACCTGTAGAGTTTCGCATCTTGCCACCAGCCTTAATGAAGCCGCATAATTGGAAAGGTCAGTCGTCATTGTTTGTCATTGATCTTGCTGACATGAATTCATGCTGATCAGGTAGATTTTAATATTACCAGATCAATAAATGCCCGCATCCGGGATTTCTATATGGCATATACTTCAGGAGACCAAGTAAACCAAGTCTTTCCTTTGATGCTTTTGATCAGGTACAGGTTTTTTTATGTTTAAGTTAACACTGGATAACAATTTTTTGCACTTGTTTGAGTTTTTGGTAACACACACATCCCAACCCTGCAGACGCGCAGAGCGTGTTGTGAAGCTTTTGTTCCGGTAATGGCTCTGATAAGGTTCCCTGTTTCACTGAGGTTTGCTTTTGCTGTACCAACACCAGCGTTGTAACCTGGGTGACTGAAGACACAATACTGGTGTGACTGGACATAAACACGAGGCTGCAGATGGACAGTAGTATTCTGGCATTCTTGAACAAATCCCATCCCCTGCAGTCTCAGTACAATAACAATAATATTGTGCAGTAACTATTTTTTTATATGAAGCTGGTCAAAACAGAAGAAATGTTTTGAATGATCCTGCAGCCAGTAGAGCAAGTCCATGTTTGCTTTCACTACAGATAGCTTAAGGGTCTGGTGTGGTTCCAGCCTCATTTGGTTGATGCACATCACTAGCGCTGGATCGACGTTGCTTTCTCTGAGCCACTCTCGGTAGTATGGAAATGCCGCTTTGCAGGTATTGACAGTGCTGAAAGGGGAAATTTTCTGCACGTGTTGCCTAATTTCATTTTTGTAGCTTAAATCTGAACAGATCCTCAGTCGAATCCATCCATAGCCAGTACTCCGTTCTCTAGCAGCCTGAGCTCGCCTTTCTCCGTGCCTTCGGAAATACTCTTCCTGCTGTGCTCCACTTGCTCTTTCACTGGGGTGTCCCTACTTCTGTGTCTGACACAGCACCTTTTCCATCATTCCTTTCTGCTTTGTTTTGGGTGAAATGTGTGTTTTCTGGGCTCAGACCTGGGTGGGTGACATTAGCTGCCGTGCTACCTTGTGCTGATGTAAAAAGCCTGGTGCCAAATGGGCAGTGTGAAATGGGGCTGCTCATGGCTCTGAATCCACAGTTGCCTTTGTCAGCAGCTGCTCAGCCCTTCCTAGGAAAGCAGATCCTCTCTTCTCTTAAGGACGGGCTTTCCTCTTGGCCGCAGCATCTCTCCTTTGGCAGGAGGCGGCGATGGATTCGCTGGCACTGAAGCAGCAGCACCTGTAACGCTGGTGGCACATGGGATGCTTCCTGGCAGCTTGCTATCTGTATTGCTGAAAACAGCCCTGTGCATGTGAGCAGCCCAGGACCAAGCTGGTGGCACCTCTGCCTCCGCTGGTACCAGTGTGCAGTGTTTGACAGCACCTTCCTTGGGCACGTCTGTTCCCGCTAAACCAAGCACTTGGCCTGGAGGCACCTTGGCAGATGCAGTTCCTTGGGTTGTGCTTCACGGGAGGTAATTCTGAGCGACAGAAAAGCCCTTTTGGCCTTACAACCTGTGGCTCTGCAGGCTTTTCCGTTGTCTAAACCAAACTCAAGGTTGCTCCCAGCTCTCATGAGCACCAGGAGGCTGCTTCAAATAGAAGTAACTGGGGTGTGCAGGATGGGAGCACAGGGCTTTGCTGCACCTCCAGCGTGTCCATCCCTAGGTTTTTTTCCTAATTTCATTTCCATATGTTAACATAGAGTTCAGTTGGTTTGTGTTTTGTATAGTAAGGAAAAATCTGCCTTCTGTAGGATAGTTACTTGGGGAAGTTTCTCCTCTGTTTGTTACTGCTTATATCCCAGAGGCATGCAGCCCAGCCAGGCATCTGCTGCTGGGAGCCACCCAGGCAGCCCGGGGCAGCGCTGCCTGCACGAGCTGCTGTTCCTTACACAAATGTTTTAGGCAGAATGTAGCCGGGAAGAGACAACCAGACTACTCAACTCCGCTCTGCACTTAGCTTTTGACAGCTAAAGCAGTTTTCACACTCGTTGTGGTACAACCTGCAGAAGACAGATATGAGTATGCAGCTTCTGGTGGGGACAGGCCTGGCTCTAGTGTTTGAGGATTCCTAGCAGTGAAGAGTTGTCTGAAGGGCATGAGAGTCTGCAGAAGTAGCTCCTGCAAAGCCTTCTGTCGTCAGGCTTCGGTCTGGAGGTCAAATGTTCCAAAAAAAAGGTAAAATAGCTAAGATCAATCCATGGCTAAGCTATCCATCACCCTATGATTGGTACATACTGAAACAAAAGATGAAGTCCTTCTGCAGTGTGGGGATCCGTTTCCCATTCCCAGCAAATCCATTGTGAGTGGGTTGATTTACAGATCTCAAGAGGCGCTTTGATAAAAAGACGTGTTATTCTCATGCTATTTAAGCTAGTTTAACACAGCTGCTAGTACGTTTTACAATTCTCTGCATTTATGTCACTGTAGGATGCAAATCAACAGAACCCCCCACATACTTAGGTTATTTTCATTTTCTCTTGCTTAGATGATATCTCCAAACATTGTGTGAAATGTCTTCTGTCCTCTGCAGGGTAGTCATAAACCAAAGGGATTTTTTTTTTTTCTCCAGTTTTTCTGTGCATGCTGGTGTTTCCCTGTGCCTGCAGCTTTCTAGAGAGCCAGATAGTTTTTGAGACATGGATTCATCTAGGTTCAGGCATCTAAAATGTAGTATCAGGTCTGAGCTGGTCAGCTGGGTGCCTCTGCTGGTGACTGGAGTGGGGGAGAGGTGTGTAGAAAGGGTGAGTTTTCCCTTGCTAAAATTAAGCAAGATTAATTCCATCCTTCCTGTCAAATGCATGCTGTTGTTAATGTATTTGATTGGATTCAGGGGATCTCCTTATGCTCTCTGGATTGTTGTTTTTCGTTTTTATCTTGACAGTAACACAAATTCTTTTCTCTTTCCAGGGTGACTGTTGGATCTGTATGGAGCTCATGTCTACCTCGTTTGATAAGTTTTACAAATATGTATATAGTGTATTAGATGATGTTATTCCAGAAGAAATCCTAGGCAAAATCACTTTAGCTGTGAGTATTTTGTTAAACCTTTTTGTGTTATTGAAGCTAATGTGAAAAATTCAGATCTTTCAATCACGCGTGAGAAAGCTGGTTGAACTGCGTGCAGCAGAACTGCTGCTGGTGTATTGCACCATGGTTTTAATGATCCTTGAGTGTACTCTGACTTTCTTGTAGCATGTTGCATGATGGAAAAGCAAGTCCTGGGGTCTGCAGTCTGTTCATACAGAGACCCCAGGTCCAACCTCCTGCTCTGTCTGCTTGAACATTGGTGCTGACAGCATAGGCACCAGTCCCCTACTTGGGGGTCACTTCACGTGCACTGGTGGTGCCATCAGTGGAAACTGGGCACAGGTCGTCCCATCCTGAGGAAGGTGTCTAAGGTAGATGAGCTGTCTCCTCTTCCCTTGCTTGTTCAGGGAACAAGAGATTGGGCATTACAGCCAGGACATGTGAACCCCACCAAACTATTTGAAAATAAGGGTCTGGTCTCGGTGAATTGCCTGCCCTCTCTCTTGAGTCAGCGGGGAGAGGTTGGTGCCTCTGTACGGGAGCCGAGTACCCATCTCATGGTGCCTTAGGCGGTGAAGTGAGATGAATCCCAGCCAGGGTATCCGAGTGCAGCCCTGGTACACGGAGCCTGCTGTCTCCCTCTAAAGAGCCGTGTAAAATTATCCTTGACTGTGCTAAAGGGAACCTTTAGTTATCTAAACACAAGGGCAAGTTTTGGCCCTGCAGGGCAAGCTTTTGGCTTTGGGCTGTGGAGGTAGGGGTGTTGAAAGGTATCCCGAAACCTCTATCCTTCTGCTGCCTGTAAAAATCTGTCAAGTCCATTGGATCTCCGCAGGGTATGCTGTGCTAGTCCAGTTCAGAAAAACCTCTGGTAGCCTTGTGCAAAGGTTCCCTAAAGTACAAGGGGGTCTTCAGCAGGGGGTGAACCTGGTTGCTGTTTTCTTGAATTAACCTGGAAGTTCTGGCCCAATAAAAAACCAAGGCTGAGTTAAATGAATTAGTTCAGCGAGGCTGCTGGACGATAAAGGGCTGCTCAGGTGAAGCACTGTTCAGGACTAACGGGGGGAAATGTGAGCAAACAAGTGAATGCTGAAGCCGTGCTGTGTTGGTGACAGATGGGCAAACTGCCTCTGCATTGCCTTCAACATGTGAAAGCTGCAGTAAGCTGGTGTCCTGAGCTGTCAGAGTGACAGGAAGGTGCTCAGCAAGTCTCAAGCCATAACCTCTTGAAAGGATATGGGAAAATTCTGCTCAGTGCCTGATATTGGGAGAAAAACTGTCTTCACTGTTCTTAGGAGCATCTTTATAAAGTGTTGAGCCTACCTGGACCTGCTGACACTTCTTGCAGCTAACAGGCTGCCTTGATGGCTCATGCATCTTTTTAGCAGAAGTGAAATGAATTAAAATGGTTAACTTTCAAGTTGTTTTTTTTTTTTTTTGTAAATCATCCTGTGAAGTCAGGCTCCTTAAGTGTCTCTTTCATGTGATGGTGAATGGTTAAATGAGAACAGCTTCCTCTGCTGCTCCCCACACTGATGCTGCTCAGCAAGTGGAATGGGAACAGTTATTACCTACTGAAAAAGTACACCATAGGGCTTGAAATAAGTTATTACTCAAGATAATTAACAATAGAAATCGCTTGACTTCACCTCTTGCTCCTCTCTCCCAGAATGGGATCTTTCCAGGTTACAAGTGCTATGTGTTTACTTAAGCACGTGCCCTCTCTTATATCACCTTGTGTTTGCAGGAAAGATTGGGAGAAAAATGCTTTTATTACATGGTGTATTACAGCATTGATATTCAAAGATATTAATTGATTTTTCCCCCTTCTTGGAGCTCCAAATGTTTAATAATCACAAGAATCTTATGACATTTGCTTATTTTTCATCTGCTTTTCTTTCCTAGACTGTGAAAGCACTAAACCACTTAAAAGAAAACTTGAAAATCATTCACAGAGGTGAGTTCATGTCTCTTCTTCTTGCCTACAAAAACAATTGAAAGGATTTTTAAGTGGCCTTTCCTTCAGGTCAGAATGTAGTTAGCGTGTATGCTACCCCAAGTGTGAGAACAGGTTTGCACAAGTGTGGCCACAGTTGCTATTTCATTGCCCCTTTGGTCTGTGGGTTTCCAGGAAAGCCTGATTTCAAGGTGATTGGGTGTCTGCCTCTGCCCATGGGCACGTGGCGTGTTTGGGGCTGGCTCCATCTCCTCTTGCTCCCGTTCAGGATCCTCAGCGGCGGTGAGCACGTCCAGTCACCACCTGCCCACCCCGCACCAAGGGGCAATGGTGATTGCGCAGCACTGCCGGTGTTGATTCTCTGCAGCTGCTGTTCCTGAAACTGAAACCTCCAGCCGTGACTTAGCGGTTTAAATTTCTTCCCTTGCAGACATCAAACCTTCCAATATTCTTCTGGACAGAAATGGAAATATTAAACTCTGTGACTTCGGCATTAGCGGACAGCTCGTGGACTCCATTGCCAAAACGCGGGATGCAGGCTGCCGACCGTATATGGCGGTGAGTGGGGATGAGCCGGGCAGCAGGGAGCTGGCATGTCTGTGGGCTGTGCAGGATCTTACCCCCCTTCTGCAGGCCTGGCTCAGCGCGACTGTGCCTGGTGTCTGGCTGAAGCGTCAGCCTGTTCCCCTGGCATGAGCACCCCCTTTCCAGATGAAACTGAGCTCTGGATTGAGTACTGCTGCTGGCAGCGTGAGCAAAGACATCCAGGCTGTGGCAAAATGACCAAATTCCCTTTTTTTTCTTTCCTGTTTTCCTCTGCTGCTGCTGTTGCTGCAGCGCTGAAGCAGAGAGCTTCTCCGTGCCTTCCAGCAGCACCCGCTCATGCTCCAAAACAGATGGCGCACAAGGGAGGCAGGGCTGTCTGGGTGCAGGGTTTTCTTGGTCTGCAAGAAGTCCATTTGCCACGGTAAGATTATGTGACAGGAGTTATTGCAGAGCAGAATTATAGTGATTTTTGCAAACCACTTCTATTCCAAAGTGTGCCGTAACTTAATTCCAGGAGAATGTGATTCTGGAGAGCAGCGGTAGCCGAGCAGCTGCGTGGAAATCGCTTGGGCTGAGCCGTGGCTCCTGGGAGTCTGTTCTGCTTGTTTCCTTCCCTCTTCCTCTCAGGGAAAAAAGCGGTGGTGGTGATTTGCAAAGCTGTCTGAGGGTTTTAAACACTTCTATGTATCGGGCTGCTTTGAAAATGCATCTCTTGGTTTCACGTGAGCTGAGGGTGCCTTGCGCAGGGAGCTGTGTATCTATCTGCTGCCATCAGTGTAACTTTCATTTCAGTGGCTGTGTTTAACTCTCATTACTTATCGTGTCACTCTATTTGCTGAAAAATACTGGGTTTTGAACTCTTATCTACCACTAAGGAAACAAAAAAAGGAAAATCTCTCTCTTTTAAGGTACAGTGCCCATCTGGTCCAGGTCATGGCTCTCATGTGCCTTTTATCTGACTGGGGTGTCCAAGGCAAAACCCGTCTGCCCCAACCCTGATCTGTGCAAGCACAGAGTCTGAGTTTCAGAGCATTTGACTTTTTTCTGCTCACTGTCCTCACACCAGAGCTGGTTACTCAGTGAGCTGGAAAGAAGAGTACAGATGAGTTCTATTCCTGGAGACCAGTGCTGCGGTACAGCAGAGTGTGTGCAAGCTCTGAGCTATGCCAGGTAGTGAGAGGGCAGACGGGGGCAGTTTGTTTAAATAAAGACCTTGTGAGGCTGGAGAGAGGGCAGAGGTGTGTTTCCGCTCTGAGCACTTTTGGCAAGTGTGTGGAGCTCCCTGCAGGGAAGAGGATGGGTCAGAGCCGCCCTGCCTGTTGTGTTGGTGGTATGTGGAATGCTGAGGGCAGCAGCAAAGAGAGGTGCCCCAGGAGGGGGCTGGAGCCAGAGCAGCCTGAGCTGTGGTGGGTATTTGCATCTCAAGCAGGTGCTTTCGATAGCATCGCTCTGCAGAGTTACGGCTGTTGTTGACTTTTCCCTGTCCTCTGAGGTACGTATCAGGCCTGTAAATAGGGCTCTTGTAAAATTGCTCACTCCTTTTCCCCTCCTAAGTTCAGTAGGCTATAATTGCAGGAATTAATGTTCCCACTTTTTCTTAAAACTGTGGGTAGATGGTTAACTTTGCACAGGCTGTTGGTTTGGTTATGACATGACAGTTACCAGTACGTCTGTAAATAGCTGTGCTGCTTCATTGCCCCTGGGACTTTGGGGTGTGGGTGCTTCCGACAGCCCCTTGTCTTTCCTCCCTGTCTGTGCATATCCACTCTGTTCTTTGTGGATTTCCACCAGCTCCAGACTCTGTTGGATTTTGAAGTGAGCAAAAGTGTTTCAGTTCAGTTTGTGATTTTAAGAGCCTTGGCATGGGATACAGTTGGTGGGACGAGCCAACAGCTGGCAAGCAGTGTGGGAGACGGCTGGCCTCTTCCCTTCTGCTCTCCGGACTCAGTGACTCCACTCCAAGTACATGAGGATTTCCATGTATCGGGGAGCCTGGGAAATGGGGAGATGTCCCAAGCATGGAGGCACATCTGCTAGCTCTTTCTCCAAGCCACCGGAGGCTCATGGCTGTAGTGATGCTGGGATCAAACCTGAATATACCTGGGAGGGAGTCAGGCCAGTCACTCTCCTTTTGAAAGGAATTTTTTATTTTGGTGCAAAATAGGTGATTATTTTTGGTTCAAAACAATGCGACTGTGTTCAGCCAGGGTGGGTCTGATAAGGGCTGCTGGATGGTGCTCCCTGATGATCAGAGCATGTTGCTCTGCAAGGCCACTTGGCCAGTGGCACTTGCGTTAATTTTTGCAGCATGAGCACTTGCCCACCGAAGGAACATGATAACACCGTGTTCACTGGAGCTGGGTCCCCAGATAGCTGTTAATAACAGTAACATGGGATGTCAGCCACTTTGTGAGCAGTCAGATTAGGCAGCAGGAGCCACGTCCAGCTGCTTGGCAAGTGCTGGGTGGTTTAACCAAAACTGTTGGAGCTCTCACGGAAAGCAACGTGTCAGCCTTGGAGCTGCCAGTGCTGGAGAAGTTATTTTCTTTTGGGTTTTGAATTCCCCTGCAATTGTTCTATTGAAGTAAAGGTGTGCATGTTGGTGCCTTGTGTTCTCTGAAAGAAAGAAAGGAAAGACGAGCCCCCGCACTGCCTGCAGAGCTGCCCAGACTGTTTGCTGAGTGCTGCTGAGATGCATGCCAGTACCAGCGTTGTGGGTTTGCTCTAGGTGAGGTTTCTCAGTGTGTTCACGGCAGCCTTAACCCAGCAGTGGGGGTGAGACTGCTCCCGGCCAGCTCCTGGTCCCCCTTGTCTGCTGCTCCCCGGTGATCCCTGCTTTGCCTCCTGCTGCGGCGGCTGCTGCTGATCTGGGTGGGAGGAGAGGCCCTGTGTGCCACACTGCAGCTGGCGCTCTTTGTGGCATTACGGCTTTTGCGTTCTTAATGCTCTAGTGTACGCAGTTCCTGTGTCGGAGAGGGGGGATGGGACTGGAAGCACCTGGTTTAGGTAGGGGAGAACCCAGCCAGTGTGAGGATGAGTTCCTGCCCTGCTCCTTTGGGACCTCTGCACGGGCAGAGTCTGATGGTGTCACACACGTCCCTCACGTCCTTTTCCCGTGTCACCTGGGAGCTGCCTGCTGCAAGCTGTGGCCGTGTCCGAGTGACAGTGCCCTGTGCCGCTTCACCCGCCCTCCCTGGGCTGCTCGCTGAGCTCTCCCTGCAGAGCTGTCGAGAGGAGGGGATGGGCAAGGGGACGTGTGTGACCGGCGGGTATGACCAGCCTTCTTGGTGCTAATGCATGACCCGGGTCCCAGCAAACATGCTTGTTCCTGCCTGTGCACAAATAGAGGGCCAGCGCAGAGCCCTGTCGCTGCAGACCAGTGCTCAGGATGTGTTCCCTTGCTCCTCGTTTCCCTCTGCAAAGATGGGCAGTCACTGCTGGCATCAGCATCTGGGGCCAGGTGGAGGCTGTGTCCCTGTGCTCGGGTGGCTCATTGCATGGAAAAGGAAAGATTCCCAAGGCAAGGGACAGTGACAGCTCTAAGCCCTGCTCCTCCGGCCTCCCTGTGCGGGTGGAGAGGCTGCAGGGGTGCGGGAGCTCTCTGAATGCTTTACCCAAGCAGAGCTGCAGCAAGAGCCTCTGTTTCAGCTTTGCATTCCTGACCCAGTGCCCAGGTTTTCATCGGCTTCACTCATTCATTTATCTGAGCAGGCAGGCTGTTGTTTTGAATTCATGCAGCTAAAGTCTTCGATGCTCCTGAATATTGCTGTGTGTGTTGGACTTTTTTTTTTTTTTTTCTTCTTTTCCATCTGGAACTTGGCACCCAGCCATAATTTTTATGACTGAGAAAACAAATTTGGGAGGAGACCGGGAGACATGTGGCATTGCACCGTCCCTCTGCGAGCACCATGGATTGGATCCTGGCTCCGCCGCCTGCAGCGTAGCGAATGCTGAGGGAGATGCCTGGGCTCTGAGCACAGCCCTTCTCGCTCGCGTGCCGCTGCTGTCACCTGCGTGCTTCAGGGGTTTCGCCTGAGAACATAACCTCTGTTACTCATTCACCGGCTAAGATAATCCATGAAGTTTTGCCCATTGTGGGACTTTTCTCTCCAAACTTAGCTCCTTACATCAGGCGACGCAGAGCCCTCTGCCCCAGGGCTGAGCTCCTGTCTGCGCGTTGGCGCTTCCACCCCATCCTGCCGGGGACACGGTGGGGAGGGATTTTCCTCCTCACCTGTTTAGATGCTCGTCTGCACAGGCAGTTTGTATAAAGCCGGGGAGATGTGTCAGCAGCCGCCTCTGTAAGCAGCCGCTCAGCCAGAAGTATTGCGGACAGGATGTGAGTTTTGTGGAGGAGAATATTAAAAGGCAGAAAAAAGTTGGTTTGTCCACTTTAGGAAGTGCCTAAAAGTCAGTTTTAGGAGATAGCTGCCCTGGGGAGGCATTTGAGGCTCAGCTGGAAGCAGTGGGCAGCTCCTCCGTGCCGGGGTTTGCTCTGGGGAACACAGCCGGCCATGCTGGGGAGGCCCAGGGTGGGCCCCGCTGCCCGGCTGAGCTGCGGGAGGGCTAACTGGAAACCAGAAATAGCAGGATGTGATCAGCAGGGCGGTGGCGGTGCAGAGAGGGGTGGGCACGGCCCCTCAGGGCAGGGTCCAGTGTGGGGAGAGGGAGGGAAGGGTTATGTGGGTCCCAGGTCCTCAGGCGCGGGCCTGTTGGGCTCTCGCTGCTCGCGTGGGTGCAGCCAGGGGGTCCCGCCTCAGGCCAGCCCGCGGGGGTCCGCACGGGGCTCCCCACCCCTGGGCCAAGCTTTTTCCCATCAAGGGAGCGTCCTGCGTGCCTGTCACGCGCTCAGTGTGGGCTGGGGGCTGCTGGGCCTCCCCCGAGCACCCCTGTGTGCAGCCAGGCCTGGCTCTGCCATCCCCTCCCTGCCGCCTCAGCGTGGGCCTCGGCAGGGGGGCAGGCAGGGTGAGGGCCATGGCAGCAGCGCGGTACCCCGCCTTGTTCAGGAGCAC